CAGGTAATGTTACTGTAGAAGTCAGTTCTTCCATAGATGATATCAACTTCATACTGGCATGGGTACTGGAAGAGAATGCACATAGCACATTCACAAGACCTAGAGGGAGTAGACAGTCCTCTCATTGATGTTCCCCTTACACTTGATGAAACGATGCCCATTTGATCATCAAAATAATCTGTTTTAGTAGATAGTCTTAAATTTTCCTTTAAAGATCTATTTTAATAGTGAGTATGGCCACATCAAAAGTGCCATCTCCCAGGGTAAGGACAAAAACATCTGTTTTGGCACCAACCTTCTTGCCTATCCCATTAATAGCAGCAGATGGCTCAGGGATTTGGAACACATATAGCTTGTCACCAGGAGTCATTCAACTAAGCTGGTGCTGTAATGACAGTGTAACAGCATTCCCTAGGGTACGTTTCTGCAATTTCCTTCTTCTTTGTGAGAATCCTAAAAACCACTCCCTCTGACTATAAGATTTTACCACATCTGGACCTTTGACCTATTATCTGATGGGACGACTGAGACTTATAATCTGCACCACCTAATCAAATATTTGGTTTTGCAAACTGTATTAGTGGGATTCACTGCCACTTGATTATTTGAAGAATCAAGATCAAGAGATCTGTGTAATATGGTCAACATAACTTAGGGTAGTCCTGTTTTCCTGATGGCTGGCAATCATATCCACTTTCTAGTACGTGAAGATTTTCACACGGGAATGGCAAGAATAGCTTCCTTTAGTGAAGCGGCTGAGCAGAATAGGTTTGACTTGCTTGAGAAAAATATAGACACTAAAGCTGTGCCATATTTAATAAGGATAGTATTTTTTTTTTTTTTAAAGAAATGTATGTATTACAAAGGTCATTTTTGACTTGGATTCCTTGATAAATTCTTAAGAGTTAAATGCCTTGACCTATAGTTAGTTTGCATTTTGTTGAAATCTGTTACAGGGTGAGTTGTACAGGAAGCAGACTCTGAGATAGAACACCCTTGGAATCAACAATTAAGGGAAGAACTAGGACTGGGCAGAGGTAAAACTGATCTAAAATGCAGGCACACTGACAGCTTTTGCCACCCCATAGGGTTCTCTGGACCTAGAATGACCCTTCAAAGTTTTGTCCTGAGATGATCAGGTGTTTACATTCCTTCATCTATTAGTTCCTGGATGTGAGTACCGGAAGAAGGGGCACAACAGTAGATGATGGGATTCTGTGCAGCTGAGGCAATCCTTGAAGGGGTTGGCAGTTGAAGGCTCTCTGCTAACAGCACTCTAAGCAACTGGGGCAATGACAAGCCATTCCTTGAAGGGGGTTTGGGTGGTATATCTCAGAATCCAACACAATTTTGTTTTCTGGAGATTTTAAGTCTAAATCATCTGTTGTGTGCATTCCTACTTTACCCACCCTGGTACTGAGGTTATTAGGATACAGAGAGGAAAAATAAAGATTAAGTCTTAAGCTTTTTTGAGAATGTATGGTAAACTATGGCTATTCTCCCCAGAAAAATATGCACATACACACAAACAAATTTGCATATAACTTCAAAAGGTTCAGTGACCCCCATACTTCCTATGGACCCCAGGTTAAGAACTTCCAGTAAAATAATCTTAGTGAGGACCATTTAATGGACAACTGAAAAATTAAACAAAGGAAAAAGAAAAAAATCAAATGAATAGAAGTTTCCTCTGCTTTCTATTTCTTAAGATACCTGTTGTAGTGCTTCCCAAAAGCCCCTCCAGCATTACTATTAACTGCTCTAACACACATCTTGAAAGCAAGATACATGTAACAAGCTGCATGCTGTCATTATTGTTATTGTTGGTTGCCCTTGAGTTGATCCCAACTCATAATAATAATAACTCCTCGGAAGGAAGATGGGGCAATCTACTTCCGTAGTGATACTGCCTCGGAAACCCAAGGAGAGGTAGCTATGAGTTGGGTCCGACTCGACAGCACATAACAACAACAACATAATAATAATCCCATGTGATACAGAACTTCCCCATTGGGTTTTCCTGGCTGTAATTTTTACGAAAACAGATCGCCAAGTCTTTTTCCTGCAGAGTGGTTAGGTGGATTCAAACTGCCAATCTTTTGGTTAGAGACTGAGTGTTTACTCTTTTAATAAGCCTCAAAAGACCAAACAAACAAACAAATAAAAAAAACCACAACCCCCTCGCCCCCTCCACTGAGTCAGTCCATTCTGACTCACAGTGACCCAACAGGGCAGAGTAGAACTGCCACATAGGGTTTCCAAGGCTGTACTCTTCATGGAAGCAGACAGCCACATCTTTATCCTATGAAGTAGGTGGTGGGTTCAAACACTGACCTGCTGGTTAGCAGCTGAGCACTTTAATCACTATTACACCAGGGCTCTCTTAATAAGCCTTACCAAAGCCATTATACTTTTTTTTTAATTGTGATTTGGGTGAAAGTTTACAAAGCAAATTCACTTTCCATACCACAGTTCACATACACTCTGTCTCATGACACTGATTACAATTTACCACAATGCAACAGTTCCCCTCCCACTTACTCCCCATAGTTACCTCTTCCCTGTGTCCTTCCCTCCATGCACTCCTGCCCCCTGCGCTGTCTCCCTGTGCATACAGAGCCCTTCTATTCTCCCATGATTGTTCTCTCCAAGGAGTTTATCTACCTAGTATAAATGTTCACCTCTCAAATGTTAAAGTGGGTTTCTCTAAATTCTCCCATCACCAACAAAAAAAGCATGAAATATAATAACAGGGTCTGCATGCCACTGGGGCTTAAGGATACTTCTAACGGCACTGGATAAAAACAGAGACTGTGTGTGGTCCTGCTCCTTAATCATTAGCTATCTGTTTTCCACATCATTCTACGCCTTTCTCAGCAACCAAAATCATAAATGACCCAGCTCTCCAGCAGCATCCCTCCTCCAACTTTTCTTGCTTTAAGTGACATGGAAGTAACAGCTAGATATTTAGCACATTAAAAGCCTGGCTCAAAAGGATCCAAAGGAAGCAAGTATTCTCAAGAAGCTGAGCCTTGGAGAGTAACATTACTAGGGGACCATACCACCCAAATGCATGCTGCGATTGCTACTCACAACATATGCTGGACACTACCTCTGCAGAGTGACTTTAAAAAGTCCTGCTCCGGATTACTTACAGAGGAGAATGAAGCCACAGCTAAAACATTCCCTGGAGAGAGCAGTATTAAACTTACTATGTAAACTAACAAGGCCTTTTCTGTATTAAAATTTCCCATGTTTTTCTGTAACTAACAGTTTACATAGACAGTTTCAATAGGGCAAAATGAATAAAACATGGAGATAAGAGGTGATATAAGATTTAAAGGAGTGAAAAGTGTTTTCCTTATGTTATCTCTGAGGGTAATTAGTCCGTGAAATTAAAAAAAAAAACATAAAAAAACACTCTCTGGAGAGCAGTGTCTTAACCAGGGGAAATTCTGCCCCCTCCAGGGGACACTGACAATGTCTGGAGACATTTTTGGTTGTCCCACTTTGGGGGATACTATCGGGATCTAGAGTATAAAGGCCAGGTATGCTGTGTAATATCCTACAGTGGTCAGGGCAGTCTTCCTAACAAAAAATCACCGCCAGCAGTGACAAGGCTAAGAAATCCTGCTGTAGACCACCAAAAACACACACACAAAACCCAAACCTTCTGCCACTGAGTCGATTCCGACTCATAGTGACCCCCACTGGGTTTCTAAGCCTGTAAATCTTTATGGCGTTGATTGCCTCATCTTTTTCCTGCAAAGCAGCTTGTAGGTTTGAACTTCTGACCTTCTAGTTAGCAGACAAATGTCTTAGCCACTACGCCACCAGAGCTCCTTTGCTGTAGAGCACGAGACGAATTTCAAGTTTTACTCCTTGGGAGCATTTCTATTGCTCTGCCTTCCAGGTAAAGTAAAAGCGGTGCTGATAATGGTTAAAAAAAAAAAAAAAAAATCATTGCCAGAGATGTCACTGCTAGCTGAAAATACAGTTTTGAGGTCTTTTAAAGTCTCAGGTACTCTGGATGCCAACCCTGAGAACATGGTGCCATGTACCGGAGAAACAGAGGCACAATACAGGGCACCAAAGCCTCCTGAGAGAGGTGAGAAGCCACCAAGAAACTATCTGACACTCATTCTTACTGGCAGCATCCTTAAATTTAGTGCTGAGAGATACCTTATTCATTCCTTAAATTATTGCCTATGAAGAAAATGAAATACAATACAAATGTTCAACAACAGAAAAATGTACTAGTACATTATAGCCTATTGGCGTTTCAATCAATAGTAACTATTGTTATTAAAATAACAACTATGAAGACACAAGCAGCAGGGTAAAGAGTTTAAGAAATAAGGGTAATTAAAGCAGAACACAAAAGCATACACATTGAATGACTAAACACAAAGAATGGAAGGGAAGAGGGGATGATGAAAATAGCTACTTCAAATAATGGATAAAACTTTTTTCTTTTTTAAGATATCTTCTAGTATTAAAATGTTGCAGTTTATAAATAATAAAAATTTTACATATATTTACAACATAAAAGTTGAGGATCAACAGTCAGTATGTCCTTTTTTAAAAATAAGTTCTCTTTTGCATGTTTCGGAAGGTCACAGGAAGGGCAGGCAGTCCAAGGTGTACTATACAGAATAATGGCCCAGCTATTGACTTTATAGCAATCAACCTTTGCACTAACTGCCCTGAATGTATAATGATTAAAAGTATGTAGACATCCTAGTCTACTTCTGAGTGAGAAACTATCTTAATTGAATTCTTTCTAACGTTTATTTCCAGCTGAAGTTGTTCTTCAGTGGACATTAAAAAGTCTAGAAGAGGACACTGCCCAGGTTAAATTCCAGAGTGACTCAAAATCAGAATCACTAATAACAAAGTGGGTTCTTACATATATGCTACTTACCAAAAGGGAAGGCAACCTTGGGAAGGCAGATTTCCCAAATATAAAGATAACTGAGGAGTGAAAGGAAATGACTCACCGGGAGTTACCATGATGAATATTACATGCTCGAGCCATTAGCACCACAATTATTGGTCGAAAGGCTTTTCCTCTTCCATCAAAGTAGTACTCAGACATTTCCTTAAGTTCTGTTGTTGATATGAATAGTTCCTGAAATAAAGTTTCTTTGTATCAATATAGCATTCTCCAACACAGAAAGTCAAAAGGATGAAAGAATTCTATTTCTTTCTAAAATTTTTTATTTGATTACAATGTATACATCTCAATGGAGAAATTCAACACTCAGTTGGAAAAAGTTTCAACTCCCACGTGGCCACAAACATGGCTGCCCTGAAGGTCAGGTCATGAGCAACGCTTGGTCCCTTGCGTGCTAGAGGTGCTAGAAGCAGGTACTGCCATCTGCCCCAGTGACTACACCAAACACCAGATGAGTCCCATAGACACTAGGAGGGGGAAGGAACATGAGGTAGCCCAGGGACTCTGGGCCAGTTACAGCTCCATAAAAAAAGGCACAGGGGCTGGTGAGCAGCTTGGAAGCATGAAGGAGAGAGCAGAAAGAAGTGAGGGGTGGGGAGCCAGTATCTGCTGGGAGTGTATGCAGCAGGAGGCTGAGGGTATCCTGGGTAGGAGGCAAAGTTGTGTATTAGGAGCAGGTAAGACTGCAGTGGGGAAGAAGCAGGGGGACACTAAGTCTTGTTCAGTCTTTATTTACCTAAAGACCTCAGAGGGAACATCAGGCAATCTACTTCTGGAGAGATACTGCCTTGGAAATCCAACGAAGCATGGCTATGAGTTAAACTGACTCGATGGCAATGAGTTTGGTTTTTAAAGGAAGTATAAGACATGGCTGGCCTGACTGCAAGTTTACAATTAAGTGGAGAGATAAGTAACTTTAAATATGAAATATTCAGTGAATAATATAGTGCAGATCCAAACATTATTGCACATTAAGTATTTTAAGAGTCCTGACAAGGGAGAGATCAGTGTGGGCTAGAAAAGAATTGAACATTCCAAATGGGCTTGAACCTAGATCATAAGAAAAAGGATTCTGATTCATGAAGAGGAAGGTGAACCTTCCAGGTGATGAGTATCCCCTGGAAGGAGAGGGAGCAGTGTATGACCTCAGCCAGGTGCAGTTGAACATGACACAGAGGGCCAATCATTAACTCTCTAAACTATGGACTCAGTGCCAAACACTCCAATAAATGCAGAGGCTACAAAGTTAAATAAGATGGCCATTTGCTTATGAGGAGCTCAGAGTCTAGATGGGGAGAAATAAAATAATCATTGTAATTTAACACAAATACAATGTGACAGGTGCTTATCATTGAGGGAGGCAGTCACCGCAGGAGCACAAAGGAGGGACCTGTTCCTCACAGTGATAGGGAGGACAGAAAAAATTTTCATTTTGACATTCTTGACATGAGAAATGAAGGTGGTCTGGCTTAGGCAGTAAGGACTAAAGGAAAGAGACTAGAAGGATGTTGAGGGAGAGGGAGGAATCAATGATCCTTCCCAGGTTCCTGGATGAAACAAGGAAAATAGGAGGGAAAAAATATTTGTAGGGGAAAAATATGGCTTCAGATATGTTAAGCTTGAGATGGTCATGTGTACTCCTTGGAGCTGTCCAGTAAACAATTAGATATATGGGCTCAGGAAAGAAGATTTAATGACTAGTGGCCAGTTGATCTTGAGTCAACTTTGACTCATGTACCAACCATAGGTGTAAGTGGTTAATCTTCGTGGCTTCTAACTGTGAGGCTGGAGGTGCAAGTCTACTCAGAGGTACCCCAGAAGAAAGGCCTGGAGATCTACTTCTGAAAAATCAGCCATTTAAAATCCTATGGAGCACAGTTCTATACTGATACACATTAGGTCAACATGAGTCAGAATCAACTCAATGCAGCTGGTTTTAGAGATATTATTTGGGAGTCCTAAGTATGGAAGGGAATTTCTGGGTAGTGCAAAACATTGGTATGCTTGGCTGCTATCCGAAAGGTTAGAGGTTCAAATCTACCCAGAGGTGCCTGGCAATCTACTTCTGAAAAATACTGAAAATCCTACAGAGCACAATTCTACTCTGACACACAAGGGGTTGCCATGATTTAGTTAACTACATGGCAACTGGTTGCCCCTGGGGTGGGGTGGAGGTGATAAAAAAGGAACTCATGAAGCAAACTGATGAATGGCTGGAGCATTAGGAAAAGCAGAAAAGTGTGGAAGCGAGGAGAATAGAGTTTCAACAAGGAGGGAATGGTCAACAGGGTCAAATGTTCAAAAAAGACAAGGAAAATAAAACCCAAAAAGTATAAAAGGAAATTACTGACAACTCTGGTAGAAGCAGTTACAGAGGAGAAGCTGGAAAGGAATCCTCAGTACAATGGTAGAGCAGATGAAAAGGGCTAAGAATGAGACAGAGGGTAGAGAATTCTAAGAAATTTGACCACAAAGAAGGGAAGGAGTAAGACAGAGATTCAAAGAATAGTCTTTCTCAAAATGATTATGAAGAAACTGGAGTACCTTAAGTGGATATGAAAGCAACAATAAAAAGGGAGAGTTTGCAGATAAAGGAGAGACATTAGACTGAGGAGGAGGCAAAGCGGATAGGATTTGCATAGAGGTAAAGGGACTGTCCTTGGAAGGAAGGGGAAACTTACTTCACTGAGAAGGGAGGGAATGACATAGCTGGGTGTAGATAAGCTTGTCAAAGGTGACAGAGCAGGAGTATAGAAAGTTCCTGCCTCATGTCCTCAATGTGTCTATTAAATAGGAAGTATGCTGCTATGAGAATATGAGAAAGTTACTGGGTGGGGACTAGAAGGAAGTAGAAAAATCTGAAAGCTGACAAGAGGGATGCAAATATTTCTGGACAAATGGGGGCCACTAAAGTTTTTGGGAAAAGAGTAAAATTTGGGGCAGAATGGCTCCAATAATGGGAATTTTATGAGGGAAACAGTAACAGGAGTCATTGGGAGGCTTCATTGTTTCAGTAATCTTGGAATAGGTCATGGGAATGAGAGGAAATTCATCTCGCAATTATGTACTGCTAATAGTGCTTTTTTCAGCTTCCCAACCCTGCAAGAACCATTTTGGAAAGTAACATGTACGACATCCTCCCAGTTGCTCAGCACTGGATTGCAATAGTTGTTGCTCAAGAAACAATTGAAACTTGATGCACCTAAATCAAGTTTTGAAGGCCATTGTGTTTATCTGAAAATCTGCATTTTTTTTTTTAAATTGTGATTTGAGTGAAAGTTTACAAAGCAAATTCATTTTCCATACAATAGTTTATATATATTTTGTTTCATGACATTGATTGCAATCCCCATAATGTAATGGCACTCTTCCCAATTGCTCCCTGTGGTTACCTTTCCCCATGTCCTTCTTTCCTATGTATTCTTGCCCTCTGAGGTACAAATGTCGCCCTTCTGATCTCCTGTGGTTGATTGTTTTAAGGACTATACGTACCTGGTGTAAATGTTTACCTTATATGCCTGTCTACTGTTTGGCTAGAAGCCACAGGAGTGAGTTCAATTCCAGGTCTGAAGGGATAATAGGGGCTATAAGTCTCAGGGGCTTCACCAGTCTCAATCAGACCAGTAAGCCTGGTCTTTATGATTTTGAGTTTTGTTCCACATTTTTCTCTCACTCTACCCAGGTTCTCCTATTTTGATCCTTTTCCAAGTGGCTAACAGTGGTAGCCGAGCACCATCTAGTTCTTCTGGTCTTAGGGTCATGTAGGCTGAGGTTCACATGGTCTACTAGTCCCTTGGACTAATTGTTTCTATGTGCCTTTGGTTTTCTTCAATCTTCTTTGCTTCAGACAAGGGAAGACCATTTGTTGCATTTTAGATGCTACCTGTAAGCTTTTAAGACCCCTATTTTTACTCACCAAAGCACTACATAAAACGTTTTTGTGCAGTGTATTATGACAGTTGAGCTTGATGCTCCCCATGACCATGGTTCTGAGCCATGGTCCCTGTGGCTCATTACCTCAGGGTGTTTGGCAGTGGCTAAGAAATTATAACTTTGCCCTGCTATCTCTATTCTGTATATGGACATTCTTATACAAATACGTATGTAGAAATATTGTCTGCCACACTTACATATGTCATGGGTATATTCCCTTTTGCCTAGACATATTAGATCATTTAGCCTGTCTATCTATGTATCCACCCATAGGTTAATGCATGCCATTACTGAAAATGACAGAGGGGTTAGGAACAACTAAGGGAGACGAACTTGTCTGTCAGTTTGTCCTCTGGTGATGGCTTAAGTGTTGTTGTGAGGCTGGAGGCTATGCCACCAGTGTTGCAAAATGCCAGCAGGGTTACCCATGGTAGACAGCTTTTAGCAGAGTTTCCAGGTTAAGGCAGACTTGGAAGAAGGAAGAGGCCATCTACTACTCAAACAATTGGGAAGTGAAAACCTTATGAATAGCTGTGAAACACTGAAGGCTATAGTGCCAGAAGATGAGCTCATCAGGTCGGAAGGCACTCAAAATTCGACTGGGGAAGAGGTGACTCCTCAGAGTAGAGATGACCTTAATGATATGGATAGAGTAAAACTTTCAGGATCTTCATTGCTGATGTGGCACAACTCAAAATGAGAAGAAACAGATGCAAACATCCTTTAATAACTGGAACATGGAATTATGAAGTATGAATCTAGAAAAATTGGAAGTTGTCAAAAACGAAATGGAACACATAAAGACTGATATCCTAGGCATTAGTGAGCTGAAATGGACCAGTTTTGGCCAATTTGAATCAGACAACCACATGATCTACTATGTTGGGAATAACAAATTGAAGAGGAAGGGTGTGGCATTCATTGTCACAAAGACTGTTTCAAGATCTGTCCTAAAGTATAATGCTACCAGTGATAGGATAATATCCATACCTACAAGGAAGACCACTTAATACTACTATTATTCAAACCTATGCATCAACCACCAAAGCCAAAGATGAGGAAATTGAAGATTTCTACCAACTTCTACAGTCTGAAATTGACCAAACATGCAATCAACATGTGTTGATTATCACTGGTGACTGGAATGCAAAAGGTGGAAACAAAGAAGAGTTACTGTTGTTGTTGTTAAGTGCCGTCGAGTCATTTCCAACTCATAGCGACCCCATGCACAGCAGAATGAAACACTGCCCGATCCCATGCCAGCCCCACAATCCCTGCTATACTTGAGCCCATCATTGCAGCCACCATGTCAATCCATCTCATTGAAGGCCTCCCCCTCTTTTGTCGACACTC